GTTTTGACTTGAATTTCTTTGGTCAATAGTGAAGTTAGGTATCTTGTTATGTATTTATTGATTATTCACATTTTTTGTGTGAATTACCTCTTCACAGTTTTAGTTATTTTCCTATTGAAAAATACATTGTGTTGCAAATACATTCTCTCAGTTTGTCACTCGTTTTTGGATCTTGTTTGCAGTTATTTTTTTTCTTTCTCTATTTCTCTAACGTCCCAAAGCTTAAAAGGGGTCAGGTGAATCAATCTTTTCCTTTAAGGTCTATCTCTAAAAAGATGTTTTGTACCCAACCCAAGATGCAATAATGACAATAATAATAAATAACCCATATTTTCTTCAAGTATTTTTATTTAATATTTGACCGTTGTCATATGTTAATTACTGTTTTCTAATTATGCAAACAATATACGAATACATTTTTCTTGTAAAAAGTTAAACTCCATAGCTAAGGTGAAAGTCCTCTGGACATCAACCCCGATTCCTTCCCAGAAGTCACTTATTAAGAGTGATATGTATCTTTCTCAAGCTTCTGTAATCCATACACAGTGCATACAGACACACACACACAAATTATGGTTTAATTTGACTTCTTTTGCTTTTGCGTAAGCGATTTGGTGTTGTATGTGCCATTACATAACTTTTCATGATACTATATGTTTTGGAGATCCTTTATGTCAGTACATACAGTCCAATCCATTATTTTTAGCTGAATATTATAGTATTTAGTAATTTGGATGTTTTGAAGTTTATTTGACACCTAACCTACTAGTGGATACTTAGGTTGATTCCAATTTATCTCTCTCCAAACAATAATAAAATAAAAAAATTTTGTCAGCTCTCTTTGTGCACATGTTCAAGTATTTATCTAGGGTCAATACTAGAAACTGGAATTCCTGAGTAGAAAGGTATGTGCATTTAAATTTTTAGTAGATACTTTCAAATTGTCCCCTCTTCTAAGGCTTTTATAGCTTTTTTCTTTAATTTTTAAAATCAATTTAGAATTTAGTTTGGGGTACAAATGAGGGAGGATTGACCTTTTTCCTTCATATTAATGACTACCCAGTTGTACCAAACCATTTATTGACTAATCCATCTTTTCCTGATGGATTTGAAATGGTGCCTTCATCATATAGTAATTTCCCATGTATGCCAGAGCTCACCTTTCGACTTTCTATTCTATTGAGGTGTCTATTCCTGTATCAGTGCCATATATGATAGCTATATTTGCTGTATAATACATTGTAATATCTGTTAGGGCAAGCCCTCCATCATTCTTCTTCTTTCTTAGACTTTTCTGGATATTCTATGTTTTTCTGGGATAATATGTAAATTATTTTTTTAAAGGAATAAAATGTAGAAGGGTTGTAAAGAAACACCTCTTTCCTTGTTTACATTATTTATCATCACGCCTCCTTCCGTTTAGGCTGTCATATAAAAACTCACACACGGAGGCGAATTTTATGATTTCCGGGCTTGAAGCTAAATATCAATCCCAGGAAAATGTGACCAAAGGGTGTGAAGAAATGGGGAGAAAAGCCTAAAAGGAGGGAGTAACTATTGTGGGTAATATCTCCAAGTAGAAAGAGAACTTAGGAGCAGCTAATTGCTGAAGAAACAGTGGGAAGGATCCAGGAAAAAAAAACAAAAACAAAAAACCATGAAAGCCTCAACTGAACTGGGGGAATTTTAAGCCAGAAACTAAGAGGTTAAACCTGAATACTGAGCAAAAAAGAAGGCAGGGCTGGAGCGAAAAGTCAGCCAGCCAGGCTGCCAGGGCAGAGGGACAGCCTCTAAAAACCTCATCAACGTATTAAACTAAGGTCAAAGGACTTGAATCACGAAACTATGCCCTGTGGTTTATCTATCTTGTACCCAATCTCTCATCACACTGGACTAAAATTATTTTTCTACCCTTCATTTATATTCATTTATATACCTTCATTATATTCATTTGTATACCTAGCCTGTGTGGGCGTAGATGACATTCTTGTAGGGTCTGTGGCAAGGTGCTGAGAGGGAAGATGATGGTCTTAAAGAAAGGTCTTAAAGTGTTAATCTCTGCTGTCCTGAGGCCACTCATGGCAAATGTAGCTTATGATGTATAAAGGGGTCAGGAGTGCCACTTAAAGTGGGGCACATGAAGAAGGTCAGGCCCCCATACTGGCTGCCAGCTGTCCCTGGTCTTGGTGGTGTGGTTGGAGGGTCTGCTTTGGCAGCCTCTGTTGTAGAAATCTTCCAGAGATACCCATCTTGGTGCCTGAGGCAGAGTCCCCATGGGTAGAGGCCACAGGATGTCCCCGTGGACACTACCAGATGCTCTGGTTGCTGGGCACCCTGCCTGGCAGGCAAGGCAGTTACCATGACAACCCCCGCCCCCCCACGTCTACGATTTTTTGCATTTCTCCTTTCCCATTAAGTACCAAGGTATTCCAGGGACAGGCAAGCACAGCTCTCAGGACAGAATGTCTTCTGCTCCAGGAAGGGGGACAGGGAAGAGGGCAGTAGAGATGTGTAAATGTTATGAGTGAATGAACCTTTGTCAGTATAAATGCGTATGTACCTGCTTCTGGGTTAAAATGTGTGCCTTTGGTTGTATATCAATACATGCTTCAGCATGTTTCATGCAAATGGTCAGATCGCCACTCCTCTGCCCCCTTGCTTTCCTGCTCCCCTCCCCTCTGTGCTGCCCCTATGCTGGGAAAGTCACCCCTGCCCTCGGTAAGGGGAAGTGCTGAGTCATGGCTCCAGCTGGGTTTCCGTCTCCTGTCCACCATCTCTGTTCTTTCCTTAGTCCACCTCTCACCGCTGCTGGGCTTTCTCTAAAGCTCTGGGCTCTCTTCCTCACCTCCCATCTCAGCCGGGACTCACTTTCCCGAGGTTCACTTCTGGGCAGTAAAGAGAAGGCAAAGACTGTTTCTGCACTTACTCCCTTCTCACCTTGTCTTCTCAGAAGACTGATCTTAGCCCTTCTCCTTCTGCTCGCTCCCGGAGAAAACAGGAGTCTGACCAAGTTTGACCCAGGAGGCTAACTGTTCCCGCATTCGTGCTGATCCTCCTCCCGGCCCTCGCCCCCTAATCGGATTATGGCAGCGTCTCATGCCTTGGGGCACGGCAAGGAAAGTGAGATTTAACTTGACACCACACATTGAGGCTTTTTTCTCATTCTATGTCTCCAAGTGCCAGACCACAAGTTCCTGGAGGCGTGTGTGTGTATGTGTGTGTGTGTGCGCGCGCGCGCAATAAAGGGAGGGTGCTATGTCTATGGGTTTAGGGGCAGTATCTAGAGGCCCCTCCCCAAGTGCAGGATTTTTGGGGGTCTCTGTAGGCTCTCTGGTCTCTTTCCCACCCCTTTTAGGCTCTTCTAACACAGAAATTCCAATCAGGTAGTCTTGTTAACTAGTTCCAAATAAGGCAGACCAGGATTGTTTCCCCCTCTAGAGGAGGGAGGGTGTTGAAAGGGGCCCGCCCGCTCAGTCTGGTTACTATAGCGACAGCCGCGGGGTGACCCAAGTGCTCCTCCCTCCCTCCTCCCAAACCGAGACAGATGACGGCACCGCGCTGACTGCGCCAAATTCCAGCCAATGGGCGGCTGCTCCCGCCTCCCTTCCGCCAGCCCTCCCTCCCTCCCCGCCGAGAACTCGATTCACAAATCTGGACTGGGGATTTCCGGCTCCAGGCCGGGTGCAAGGGCGCCGGGCGGAGGTCGGGGGAGAGTCGAGGTCTGTCTTTCTAGGAGGGCAAAGGGAAGCCGCCCTTCCTGACTTCTCGGGCCAGACTCCTATAACTCGAAACCAGAATAGATGACACCCTACTCTCAAATTATCCGGACGACCTCGTTGAGGCGCGGCTGGCAGCTCTTCCTGCCCCTACAAGCCCCCACCCTGCCCGAGCGCGCCCTTCAGCACCACGGACAGCGAACCGGGGCACTGTCTTTGCCAGCCTCGCCTGGTTCTCTCTCCTACCCTTGAGGTCTCGGCAGCGACCAGGGTCAGAACCGCCAGTGCTCTACTGGAGCCAGGCTTCCTTGGGCCAGTGAAACAGTGAACGGGGCGCTTAGCCATGTGGCTAAAAAGGCAACAGAGACCAAACAGGGATCTCAGGCTAAATAGCTTATTTCTCTTCTTTCAACCCCAAAGAATTAGCACCCGTCTTCCAGAGTGGCTGTGTCCCAGCATCCTTGGAGATAAAGGGTCAGGTCTGAATTCAAGCGAGGATGGACCTCCCAAGGCTCCCCTGGTTGGACGAGTGACAGGAAGCAGCCTTGAAGCAGTCTGGTGTGGGGGTGGGGGGAGGCGTGTAGGGCTGACTGGCAGTCAGGTCCCACCTGAGAGGGGTGAACACAGATTCAGTCAGGCCTGAATGGACTCTTGACCGGATATATAGTGGGGAGAGATGGAGGAGGAAGAGAAAAGCAGCAAAAATAACTAGCTAGTTCTGTCTTAAAGGACCACTCTGTAGAAAGGGGAACAACTTCTGCTGTCTTCATCACTTAATCCCTGAATTGCCTGGGCATTAAAGAGGAGCTAGGTCAGACAAGATGGAGGCAGGGGTGGGGGGGATTCAGCTTTATCATCAGGCCTCAATCTTTGGCTACCTCACTTTACTGTCTGTACAACGGAAGTCAATGAGGGGTGGACGGAAAGGGTAGCAGTTCTCAGGGACTCAACCTTCCCCTCTACCCCCAAGGCGATCCTCCTGCCTGTGACAATCCTACTATGGCTCCCACTTCCTCCCTCCCAGGACCCAAAGAAAGGCCGGCGCAAAACCATCTGTAGGCGCTTCCAGCGCTTTATAGTTCTCTCCGGGACAGACGGACAGACAGACAGTGCGGCCCGCGCCGTTGGCCCGCATCATTGGCACCTTGGACACGGCACCAGGCCCAACCCAGTCCCTGGTGCCCTGCCGGGAGGATTCCGGTCCGGCCTCAAATCAGCACCTCAGACAGCTCCCGGCCCAACACCCACTCCCCCACCCCCCCACCCCCACCCCTCCCTCCGGAAACAACCAAATAAATTAAAAGGGGGAAAAACAAAAACACCTAAGGATAAGGAAAAGGGGTGCCCCTCCCCCAGAGTAAGAAGAGTTTTCTGTCTCCTCCCACCCTTCCGCTGAGGCGCCGCCGCCGCCGGGGTAGCCTCCTAGGTTGCTCTTGCTCCCAAACCTCAGCCTCCTGAAGCCGGCATCCCCTTCCCCCACAACTCTCGGCATGCAACACGTTGGAAAAGGTAGGGAGAGGCGGTGGGGGTAGGACGAAGGACCATCCTGGTGGCTGTCTGGGCTCCTGGGGCTGCAGTTTCTCGCCACATCTCAGTCGACCCAAATTAAGAACTAATGTTCCATTTGGTCTAGGGAGGTGGGTATGAGGGTTCAGTCGGGGGAAGAAATGTAAGCTGACATAGGCGGAGCAGGGAAGGCAGACAGGAGGAAAGAGGCGAGGAAAAAGAGAACAAGAAGGGGAGAGGGGGACACAGGTGCAGAAAGAGAAACGGGGGCAATGAGAGATAGTTAGGTGGGGGGTAAGATGGAGACGGAAACACACACCCAAGGAAGGGAAAATGGAAAGGCAGAGGAGGAGATGGGAAAGCAGACAGGAGGGAAGATGAAGATACAGGGAGGAGGTGAGGAAATGGACAAAACCGAGAGAGGGCTTAAACACACAGAAGGGAAGAGGGAGACCCGGGCAGATTGAGAGACGAGGGCGCAGACAGAAAGGGTGAGGTCGGGGGTCCCCCTCCCGCGCCCACCCCCTCCCCCACCCAATGCCCAGCAAATCTAGACTCCGCGGCCTCTGGCGTCCTGGCCTCCACCTTCCCCTGCGGGACAGGGGCGGCTCCTCCTCCGGCCCGGCGCGGAGCGGCGGTAACAGCGGCGGCGGCGGCGTGATGGTCCCAGGGGCTCCAAGTGTGTGTCAGGGACTGGGGTGGGGGGTGGGCGCGGCCCTCGGTATCCCTAGCGGTCCAGGTTCATAGTCCAGTGCTTGGCTCCGGTCGCGCAGCTGTCCCTGGCGGCCGAGGAGGAGGCTGGGGCCGCAGGTGCGCCCCCGCTGGGTGGACCCCCGGCGCCGGCGGCGGCCTCGCCCTCGTTCTTGAGGTCTTGAAAGACCTGCGTGAAGAAGTGGGGGTCGGCGTTGAGCCGCAGCATCTGCGGGCTGAGCCGCTGGATGAGGCGCAGGCAGCGTTGCCAGAAGCGCTCCTTGTCGGGCTCCACGAGGAAGGGCTTGAGCGGGTAGGAGATCTCGTTGCCCATGTAGGAGTAGGCGAGGTAGAGGCAGGTGAGGAAGGCGGCCTGCAGCTCGGCGGCCGACGCCAGCTCATCCCCGCGCAGCGACTCGCGGCACAGCAGGTACACGAATACCAGGTTGGCGGGCGTAATGAAGGCCTGGTCTTGCCAGCCCTGCAGCAGCAGCGAGCGGTCCACTCCGCGGAACCAGCCCACCAGCTCGCCCGGGCTCAGCTCCTTGAGGCGGTAGCAGCGTCGGCACACGAAGTCGCCCAGGCAGCGCAGCAGCTCACCGGTGGACGCCTGCACGATGACCCTGCGCGGCGAGCCGCCAGGCACCGGCGGGGCGGCCTGCGGGGCTGGGGGCGGCGGCGGCGGAGGCTTTCCCCCGCCTGAGCCCGGCGGCGGGGCGGCCGCGCTGCCCCCCGACGGCGGCTCGCAGGTGGCGGCGGCCGCGGGCACGGTGGGCACCGGCACCGCCAGGGGCTTGGCGGCGCCGCCGCCGTCGGGGGGGTCCCGGCCCTTGCGGAGAAGGTTCTCGCGGTTGCGTTGCTGGACTAGAGGGTCGGGGCCCGTGGACGCGGGCTTGGGCGTCACCTTCTTGCTGCCTTTCTTCTTCTTGGCAGACGCGGCCACCAAGCGCTTCCAGGTGAGCGCCGAGATGAGCACGGACGGCCGCTTGAGCCGGCTCTCGCCTTTGCCGCCCTTGCCTACTGGCGGCGCCCCGTAGCCCCCCAGCGCCTCGTCCCCGGCGGGCGGCGCCTTCTTCTTCTCCTCTGGCAGCCCGCCGGGCCTCCGGCCCTTGGCCGAGGAGGCGGGGGAAAGAGACAGCACCGTGCCCATCCTGCAGAGCGGGGCCGGCGCCCGGGCCCCGGCGGGAACCGCGGGCAGCGCCGCCGCTGCCGCCGCTGCTGCTGCAGCCCCCGGGGACCCGGCGGTGGGGGGCCTAGCCCCGGCCCGGGCGCGGGAACGGGCGGGGGAAGGTGGCTGCTCGGCTGCTCGCGGAGGCTGCTCCGAGTCTGAGCTGCGCCAGCTGCAGCGTCAGCCCCACCCCTTGGGCCCCTTCTTTGGCCGCGCCGCGCCCCGCCTCACGCAGCCAATCCTCGCCCGATCTACCCTCCTGACCGGCAGCTCCTCTGACCAATAGAATCTCGCACGCCAATCTCGAGTCCCGCCCCACCCCCACCCTCTGTCTCCGGTCCTTTCCCTTCACCAGAAAGGGAAAAGGAGGAAGAGGTGGTGGTAGTTCAAGTGGTCCCCTCGGGGTCAGAGCTGGGGGCGGGGGAAAGGGTGCTCCCACCTCCTCCGGCTCCTAGGGCCCTAGGTCAGCTTAATTTTGTGCACTGGATCGTGGTAGCAGAAAAGCCATGGGAACAGCCTCCCCGTTTTGATTATGTGTTGGGGCAGCGTGGGCAGTGAGTGCCCTCATCAGGGTGCCCGGGTCCCTGGCTGGGCTCACTGCACTGGCTCCTCCAATCTGGCCGTCGGGCCGTTCCTTCCTAGTTCTCTCCTTCCCCCCATCCCCTAGGCCACCACGGAGGACTGCAGCAGGCGCATTTTTGCTCTGCCTGTGACGGGGTGCTGGTGGGGCCTAGGCCTTTCTGCAGGTCACAACCCACCTCCTTGGGGGCGGCAAGACCCTGAGACATATCCCTGAGGCCGCTGTTTGCTGGCCTGATTCTCTGCAGCTGAGTCTGTGGGGAGAGGCCCTGGGCTCTGGTCCCTGGCAGGCTCCTCATGTGCTCTTCATCCTCACCAGCACACCGGGATTCCACCCTTGGGTGGATGATGGATAGTTGTTCCCTGGTGAAATGCTAGAAAACGGATAGGTTGGTATGCCCAGGTTTGGACAGAAGGGGCCTTCTGTACAGAGGGTTGCCCAAGACGGTTGGCGCAACCTCCAGCCCAGCTTTGGGTCCAGGTTAAGGTAGGTTTTTATCATCAAAAGCTTCCTACCATTCAGGTCCCAGCTGTCCCCACTCCCAGCTGCAAGCTGTTCGGCTGGGTCCTGCTCATTTCTCTCTGGGTTTTTCTGTTCCCTCCTCAGCGCCCACAAGCCTTTGTCCTGGATTTGGGACTCTTGGGCCTTACCTGCAGGTCCTGAGCCCAGCTGGTCCTGGAACTGTTCTATCTGCCTTATAGGGCAGTGTCCATCCTTCTCCGGGCCTGCTCTCTGTCTCCCCAGCACAGGAGTCTTCCAGCTTCTTAAGTGGGCCTTGGAGGTGAGTATGATTCAGAGAGGAGGCTGCCTATAAATTCAGCAAAATCCTCAGAATTGTCCCTGGGGTCACCTCCATGCTCCTCACAGACCACCAACGCAGCTCCAAGGATCCACTGCTGTCAGGGTTGGTGTGTAGGCACACGTGTGTGTGGTTCATCCCAGAAAGACTGTTCCAGAATCCCCTTGGGCTGGAGCTCCTGCCACCAGAGGCACTAGCTTTTCTCAGCTGCCCATAGGCCCCACTCACTCACCCGCTCCTGGAGGCCTGTGGTCTGGCTGTCTTGATTCTCTTTCTCTTTACCACCATACACACGCAGACGGGTACCCCATCCCTGACTCAACGCGCCATGTGCACTTTCTCAGCAGGGTCTCTCCTGCTGTCTTAGACCTGATCTTTATCCTCTCGCAGCCCCAGCTGACCTGCCCAATCTCTCATTGTCCCCATAGCTGCAGAAAATGTTCCCTCTTTTCAGCTCCTGTAATTGGTCCCAATTCCTCCTACAAGGCCTTCTGAGTCAGTCTTTATCTGACACCTAAGGAACAGTCGGTTCACCAATAGTTGAGGACATGCCCCATAGAGACTGAGTTGCACTGGCAGAAACACTGGGCATGTGGATCTGAATGGCACGTGGGTCCCGGCAGCTCTGCCCGTAGGAGTCCCAAGTTGATGTAAGGCCTATTGTTGGTGTCGTTTAGGACAAGATCTTCTCTACAGCACCCAAAGTTGTCACCACCATGGGACCCCCACTCTGGGGCCAGCTGTGACCTCCTGCTGTCCTCTTAGTCAGAATCAAGAATTTCCTCCTCTGCTTCAGGGTCAGCACACCAGACTCTTTAAAAGGTCTCACTCCCTCTTTTAACCTTGCCCTGCCTCAGACCCTCTCTCTAGCCCTCACACTCTTCACTCCTCCAGTCTGGTTATCCCTCCCAAATCTCTGAGCTCCCAACACTGGGCCAGAACCGACCCTCAGATCACCACCCTGCCTTCTGTCAAGCTCTTGAAATTCCACCTCCTCCAGGAAGCCTCTTTGGATTTATTGGACTGGCCCTGATATCCTTCTGACATCAGTCTCTCTAACTTCTTACCCCAGCAGCAGCTGCTACACAACAACTTGGTTAAGGGCTAGACTCTGAGTCCCCAGTCCAAGATGTGCAAGATGGATCTGGATGGGCTTTTCAAGGACAAGCAGACAAAATAATGAAAACTGACCCATAAAGAGCGACCACATTTCCGTTATGAAAAAGCTGGAGGCATTAAGGGATGAGAGAAGGATGTTATGTTTCTACAGGGTCGAGGCCAGGGGGTAGCATAGTGAAACCAGAAAGACATCATGAGAAGGTGGGCTTTACAGCAAGGCAGTGACTTCCCCCACTGCAGCTGCAAGTGTACTTTTCATTTGGGCTGCATTTGGGTCTGTAGTCCGTGATTGACTCATTTATTTATAGTAGTATCTGTATGTTGCTTCTCATCGGTCCATTTCCTGTGGACGTACATGCTCCTCTGGGACAGTGCTGGCTTAGTAGACTCCCTTAGATGAGAAACCCACCGAGGCCAGGCTCCTCGTCTGTCTCCATCGCTTTGTAGGTTATCTAGATCAGTGCCCTGTCCAGAGAGTTAGTTATTCCTGAAGATTCTTTAAGGCATGAACTGCAGGGCCAGACCGAGAACTGGGGGCCTGGACTAAGGTTTTACCCTGTGTAGGAACATGGCCTTATTGATGAGGATCTCCACCAGTTTCAGCCTAGAGATGAGCCTTCCCAGAACCCCCGGGATGCTGAGCCTCATCTTGAAGGGAACATCTCCAGGTGATGCTGCTCAGATTTCTCTGCCCTTTGGCTGTTTTTATTTCCTTTTCTGAGAGATCAGAGGCCAGGAGGCAGGAGGCGGGAGTTCTAGTCCCTGGCTTCTAAACTGAATGACTTGGGGAAGTCATTTCAGCTCTCTGGGCCTCTCTTTCTTCATATTAAAATGCAAAATTCTATAAACTTTACTTTCATTATCAGACAAAGAAATGAATATTTGGGGCTGGCCTAGTGATGCAGCAGTTAAGTTTGCACATTCCGCTTCAGCAGCCCAGGGTTCACTGGTTCAGATCCTGGGCATGGACATGGCACCGCTTGTCAAGCCATGCTGTGGCAGCGTCCCACATGTAAAGTAGAGGAAGATGGGCACAGATGTTAGCTCAGGGCCAGTCTTCCTCAGCAAAAAGAGGAGAATTGGTGCAGATGTTAGCTCAGGGCTAATCTTCCTCAAAAAAAGAAAGAAAAGAAGGAAGAAAGGAAGGAAGGGAGGGAGGAAGGAAGAAAGAAAGAAAGAAAGAAAGAAATATGAATATTAAAGGAATAAGATAACATCTTGGGGATTGGACTTAAAAATGATTCCTAAAGCCTCTTCCAGTTCTGTGGTTCGGATTCTAAATAAAATCTGTCCTATGAATCTGTTTCCCGCTCTAGCTCTGACCCTGCCTGGTTCTCCCTGATCTGTTTCTGGCTGGCGGGCTCGGTCTTGTGTGCACAGCATCCGTGTGAGGCCTGCACTTCTGCAGTGCAGCCCAGGAGACAGAGGGCGGGGTGCTCAGACTCTCAGCAATGTAAACCTCTCTAGGTCCCTCCAGGCTTTGGAGGGGATCCTGAAAGGTGGTGCGGCAAAGGACCAGATGCCAAGGTGGGCGAGGTCCATAGTCTCCCCAGTAAACATCAAGGCTGGGGGTCCCAGAACCCAAGGTCATTGCATCCCCACGTCTCCAAGGGGCCCCTACAAAGAGGCTAATGACAAAGAAGGTTCTTTCAAGAGCCAGGACAGAGACTGAGCCTGGGCATCTGAATGCCTGGATTTTGCTGCCCCCCCATTCCTTCACTGATCCAGTACCACCACCCTAGGGTCTCAGCTCCTGGGGTTTGCAAACGAGGAGGACACGCAGCATCCCAGCCATCCCTTCCTCTCCTGAGGACCTTACCCCAGGGGAGCTGGGGTGGGAGGGAGGAAGGCCCCTGGTAGGCCATGGAGGGAGCAGAGCCCCTCCCCAGGCAACAGTAGGAAGTGGGGAAAGGGGGTGAGCAGGGAGAAGAGATGAACCTGACAAAGGAGGTGCTGCCAGCTGATGGGAGGGAGACTCCGCATCCTCATGTCTCCCCTTCCAGCAGGCCCCTTGCTAAAAGGACTTAACTGAGGAGCCTGAATATAGGTTTTTTAGAACAGAGAATAGGGTTGATAAGCACAGATGAGAAAGTGGTGCCCTGGGGCAGAGAGAGAAGGGACCAATGCTGAGATTCTGGAGGGCCCAGGATTAAGGGTGAGGCAGGGACAGGGGTGAGCTGGGGGCTCCTTTACCTAGCCATAAGCTCTGCTTCCTTCCTGAATGGAAGGGGAGGCCTTGCTCCCCCTTCTAGCTCACGGATGCCAGCCTTCCCTCATCCTCATCCCTGGATAGTCTCTCCCCAGCTGCCTGGCTCCTGCCTCCATCTCCCTTTGTTGCCCCCTGAGAACACTTCTCTCTGTGCAACCCTTCTAGCACTCGCCAGTTCCTTTATTTCTCAGATCACCTTCTCCCGCCTCCACCCAGCCCCTTTTTTGCCTCCTCCCTTTCGCCCCCCACCCCAGGCATCACCCCCCTACCCCATCCTCTCCCTGCCCCTGCTGGCGCCCAGCATAGCACTCCAGAAGTAGGAGCAGATCAAGAAGGGTGGGGGCGGTGGCTGTTGCTTTTCTGGGATATTCTTAGCCTGTCTGGGGGCTGGAGCTGGAATCAGCGTTTCCATCTCAACCAGGCAGGTGGCTGCAGGGAAGCTGCCGCTGCGACTGGGTCTTCATCTGGTTCCACT